CCCTCAGACTCCAACACATCCTGACCCGTTGTGTCCCCGCTCTCCCCTCCCTTTCCTGCCCCCCCCCCCCAACACGCATAGGCTTCACCACACCACCCTTTACAATGGCACGCATGCTCGCTGTGGCCGCCCTGGCCGTGTTCGTCTTGGCCGCGCCCGCCCTTGCGGCCCGCGACCTCAAGCAGCTGGGCGCCGTCACTGGCGCCGTCAACGGCCTGCTTGGCACTGTGGGCACCACCGTCAACGCCCTGCCCGTTGTCGGCCCCGTCGTGGGCCCTGTTGTCGGCACTGTGGGCGGCACCGTGGGCGGCCTGCTCAACACCGTTGGCGGCGTCGTCAACACCGCCACCGGCGTTGTGGGCAGCCTCCCCGTCGCCGGCCCCGTCGTCGCCCCCGTCCTCAACACCGTCACCGGCACCGTGGGCGGCGCGGTCGGCACCGTTGGCGGCGTTGTCAACACCGCCACCGGCCTTGTTGGCGGCCTGACCGGCGGCCTGACCGGCGGCCTGCTCGGCGGCGTGACCGGCGGCCTGCTGGGCTGATTCCGCAATCTTGACTTTTTTTCGCTTTTCCCGCTTTTCCCAAACTAACATGTGTGATGCGTTGAACCATCATCCTGTACCATGGCACTGACCTGCTATCAAGAAGGGTGTGCACACACTGCCGTTTGTTGTGTGAAGGCCTGCCATCACTGCCCGTGATGGCAGGCCAGCGGTGCCATCCGTGGTCCACTGCAGCGGCTGAGTGGCAACCGCACCTTGTAACCCTATGTACACCACCAGCGCTCCAAAACATGAGAGGTGCATTTGCACGTAAGCAGCTTCCCAGGTGACAGCTGCCCGACAAGCTGCCTGTGCACCAGCTCAGCCCATGCGAGAGCATTATGTCTATCTAGAGTGTTGCTTGACATTTGAACAGCAAAACAATTAGCCAATTGTCACTCAAATGGCAAGTTGAAAAGTTTGTTTTCGGACTTGAAGAAGTCAAGCTCAATGAATGCACGCGGTATTGCGGCTGCATGCTCAGATGGGCAGGAGTTTGGTACTCCTGCCCGATGGGCAAGAAGCGTGCGCTGCGCTAGCTCAGAGTGGTATTGCACTCCTGTGCCTGGCCAGCTGGAGACCACGGTTCCACCCCGCACCATCACATCTGACTGGTGGGGCGCGTTTTCGCGTTCCACCAGTCAGATGGTTTACTGGTGGGGCGGCTTGCATGCTGTACCCGAGGATTGCATCATCCAGGGTTGTCTGGTTGTGCCCGCCCCCCAGACTGGTGCGGCTGGCCGAACGACGACAGCTGTGTATGTTGTCACTCTTTATGCAGGGACTTGAAAGGTCACGGCCGACACGGTGCTGCCGGCACACGCCGTCCCGGCTGCCTGGCATGCTGATCAGTCACCAGCCGCCACCCACCGACATTTTTGAAAGTCCACAACGAAGTGTCAGTGTAATCTGATTCCTGCCCTGTGGGCTTCCACATGTTGGCATTGCAAAAGAAGTGGTTTTGCTCTCGAGCAGCCTGCCTCAAGGTGGGCACACCCTCAGGTAGCAACCGACAACCGCTGCCCTGCAGATGCGCGAAGCACACACGTTTGCCTGTGCATTGCATGATGACAGTAATGCTTTGACATGATAGTTTATACACAAGAGACGGCCGCCATCTTGGGTCACGCGCGCAGGGGGCTGTCGCGGCGCCGGCCTCCTCGCCCGGCTGAAAAGCGCCCTCGAACAGCGAGAGGCGGCGCCCAAGGCCGCCCGACAGCTTCTCACACCCAGCATCGCCGGCTGCTCGCCTGCCTGGCAGCGCTCCTGCCGCTGGGCTCAAACGCCCACCCCAGCCCGCCTGTAACACTCTCAACATGTCCTCCAGCATGTGGCACACCTGCCAAGAGCCCACCACCAGACCTTCACCGTCACTCGGCCACACCCAGAATTGCAACAAATGGACGCGTGCACCCCACCGCCAGAGCTGCAGTTCGCGTCCATACAAAACGAAACTGCACCTCTCGTGACATCCCCGACACGCGCGCTTGCCTCCCACCACCTGCCACCCGTGCCCCCCGCCCAGCGCCCTTTTACACCGCCCACATGCCCGGAATTACTGCACATTGGCAACCGGAATTGCTACACATCGACACCCGGGCCCCGGCCATGTAACCCGACAACCCTTTCTGCAGAGTTACACAGCCTTGTTACAGTGGGTGGCATGTCTGCACGGGGGCTGGGCGAACCGCTTGTGCATGCAAAGTTGCGTAAGCTTCCACTCAGCCGCCATGGGCCGTGCCAGCCGCGCAGCACGCCGCCCACGAGGCCGGCCCCGGGGCCCTGCCACGCGAAAAGTGTTGCCCGCGTCAGGCCACCTTCTCGATCCGCTCGAGCGTGTACGCGCGCGTGCTTGCGCCGAAGCGCAGCACGCCGCCCTGCGGCACGCCCCTCTGCACCTGGGCCTTGATCCACGTGTCCCCCAGCCGTGTGCCGTGCGCGCTTCCCAGGTCTGTCACCAGGACGCCGCCGGCGCCGTCCACAGTCAGCGCCGCGTGCTGGCGGCTGACAGACAGGTGCTCCAAAGTGACGTCACACGCGGGGGCCGGGGCGCGGCCAAACACGATGCGCTGGTGGGGGCCGACGGGGCCCAGCACCACCTTGCCCACCGGGCCCTCCGGCTTCGATACGCCGAACACCAGCAGCCAACCCTTCTGGCCGCGCGCGGCCGCCGCCGCAGCGGCCGCCGCGACGGCGTCCTCGGC